GTCAAAGTCAGTCAAGGAAAGATCATGTTGCAAATGATATTTAAATTGTACAAAAGTCTCACAAGGGCTCAAACTCAATCTGATGATGCCCTGAGCTCTGAGGAGGAGCAGTGTTTGAACCAACCGATTTACTTCAGTTCATAGTGGAAAGATATTTTTATTACACACATTATTTATAAAGACATTTCTTCATAAGTGGAAAATTTAAAAGTGCTCAAAAACATGACTTCAAGTACCCAAATAAAGGGAGCTTAAATAAAGCAGTTTCAGGGAGTTAGAGAATGGTTCAATGCTTGAGGTATGAAGTAAAGATAGAAATTATGAGGAAAAGGGCAGTAATTGTTTGGTAATACAGAACATAAATGTTGCTGAAAACAGATAAGGGCTTCATGTGTTGCACTCATCAGGACTAGGACCAAGGGACAGAGATTACAAAAAAAGGCATACCAATTTACAGCATGAGAAAAATAGTGCTTAACCAATTAGCACCCTTTCCCTAACCATCCCAATGAGGGTGAGATTAAAAGCTTTGACTGGTGACCTCGTTTTAGTAATGTTTAAGTTCAGGACGGTCAATGTTTTGGGGGAGAAAGAGAAATGATAATCCTTCATCAGAGAGATCAGGAGAATCCCTAGGTGAAACAGGTAGCCCCGAACATTCCAAAAAGGCAAGTAATGGGTTTGAAAGCTGTGCAAAACCCAAATGGACCCAGAGAACTTATCCTATGGTCTACCTAGCAACCTTGAACTTTAGGTCACTCTAATGTAATTAAACATTTTGCAAAATTACACACATCTAAGCAATTCACAAAAATCACAAAATAGTTACAGAAGAAGGCTGCCAATAGGCCAACATAGCTCTACCCATAACAATCCTAGCTTTCACCCAACATCACTTCCTTTCAGTTAGTATTCCTTTGAGTCTAAATATTTTTAAGGCAGTGGTAGGATAGTACTTGATGGCCAAGGGGATGAAAGATTATCAGGGAAGTGCAGCTAAGTAAATTTGAGGTTAAAATTGGATTAGTCATGATCTTTGTGAATTGTGGAGCAGGCTTGAAGGGTCGAGTGGTTTATTCTTGTTCCTTTTCCATATGTCCATAGTTTGCTTTATCTCTGATAAGTTTCAACTTTGGCTGTAGCCAGCGTCATGGGATTTGATCCTTAATTTTTTTTAAATCAGGGATTCAAGTTTGGGCCTCAAGCCCAGCCTGTTAATTCCAGACTTGGTAAAAAGTGCACCTCTTTGTCTATTCTGTTTATTCTTACATTGAAATACTTATCTGAGCTCCTTACAATGAGGGTAGCGTGTACATTTACACAAATATATGCGTTGTATGCATGCCGACAGATTAAAGGGCTCCTGAAAAGGTCAAAAACTGCATAAAGACTGACTTTAAAAGAAACCCAAAGACTTCTCGTGACTGAAAATAAAATACAGAGATGATGAGGAAATATTCAGCCAAGTGCTTTGGGGATACAAATGCCACTGTGTTTTCATATCAGAAATCAGGCATCTTCACATCTTTCTGAAGTGTGTCGTTCTGTGCGCAGTGTAATGAATAGAATTAAGGATGCAAATACTGGTGTTGTACCTGATCAGAGACCATGTGGTGTGCTCATCTTTGAATCAGAATTGAAAAAAAGGACCAGTGGAAGTTTGATGATAATTACTGTTCACCCAGGCGGTTTAAATATGAAGCACTTGGTAAGACCAGCTGTACCAGGAGTATGGGCTCCAACCTGAGTTCCAGCTGTCTGAGTTAATAATCAATGATATGAGAATTCTCAGCTGCTAAAGAACGGAGATATATGTAGAGCCCGAAATGCATGCCATTTGGTGTCTGCTTCCCATGTGCTGGTGTTAATACAGTGAACCTTCAGCGAAGCTTTGTGTAGCCTTTGAATTGTTTCCTTTGCCCTTCTCACCAGCCTCTACTTTGTGAATGCGGTCCCTGGCATTGCCGCGAGAGGGGCAGTCTCCAGTCGGACAATTGGACAACATACCCTGTCCAACTCAGCCACTGTGAATTTACCATAGCGATCACAACCACTTCTTTCAGCTTTGGCAAAAGGCTCGCAGTAGGCTACCTACCTGATCTGACAGGCCTGGAGAACACTGCTTTGTAAATAACAAACTACCAATTTTGAAATGCCTTGGTTGTGAATTGCATACTTGCATCATAGAATCATACAGCACAGAAACAGACCCTTTGGTCCAACTGGTCTGTGCAAACCAGACATCCCAACCTGACCTAGTCCCATTTGCCAGCATTTGGCATGTATTCCTTTAAACCCTTCCTATCCATATTCCCATCCAGATGCTTTTAAATGTTGTAGTTGTACCCACCTGCACCACTTCCTTTCCTCTTCAGATTCGTGAGTTCTCTATTAATCATTAATGTCAGAAGATTTGCTTTTAACCTGAAGGTTATTAAGCCATGCAATTGGCAGCACTGTGGTTCAATGGTTGGTATCGCTGCCTCACAACACCAGGGACCTGGATTCAATTCCAGCCTTGGTGAGTGTCTGCGTGGGTTTCTGCTGGGTGCTCTGGTTTCCTCCCACCATCCAAAGATGTGCAGGTTAGGTGAATTTGCCATGTTCAATTACCCTGTAGTGTCCAAGGATGTGTAGGCTGGGTAGATTAGGCAGGGTAAATGTGAGGTTATAAGGCTAGGTTGGATGCTCATCAGAGAGTTGATGCAGACTTGCTGGGCCAAATGGTCTGTTTCTGCATTGTATGGATTCTACGATTCTTATTAGTGGAGAAATATTTGAAAAAAATCCCTAACGAGGGAAGTGGAAACAGCAAGGGAGGGTGGGACTTGAGTGAATAGTCCCTTCATAGAAAATAAAAACTGAAAGAACTGCAGATGCTGTAAATCAGGAACAAAAATAGAAGTTTCTGGAAAAGCTCAGCAGATTCCTTCATAGAGTTGGAAGCAGTGGACCAAGTGCCCTCCTTCTGTGCTGTACACGCTGCCAATCTCTGATTCTTGGAGAGCTTTTCAGGGAACTGTCAAGGATAAGCCAGAGGCCAAATTATTCCTCACTTGGAAATGTCAAGAGTCAGCCACATTGTCACAGTCCATACCAATAGATCATCCTCATCGATAATCCCTTGTGTCGAGGAAGATTCTTCCTTGTGGATGTCTTCATTGGAGTGAGATATCAATATTTGCAACAGGTTTGTACATCATTTATGAATCTTACCTTACCTTTACAGGCTGTTCTGCAGTGAGAACGTGGATTACCAGTTACTGAAAGTGGCAACAAACGGTTGGCTCAAGCAGCCATGCTCTCTTTCCATCTATCTACCCATTTGCTCTCAGTTGCTGCTCTTTTTGACTGGACAATCCTGACACCATTTTTGACAATGCAAATGACATGGCTTTCCTGTACCTCCAGAAGTTTCTGGGGGTGGGGTGCGGTGTGGTGGGGTAGGGTGTCCTTCTTTCAAAAGCATCGAGTGCCCAATTGTGACACAGCACTGGATCAACATCACAAACACAACTGCTACGTAACCAGCAACTAAAGTCATCACTAGTTGCTCAGATTTGGTACAATCTAAAGGAGATTGACAAAGTACATGTAGAAGAGTCTGATGAAGAGTCATCTAGACTTGAAACATTAGCTTGCTCTCTCTCTGTGGATACTGTCTGATCTGTTGTGATTTCCAGCATTTTTTGTTTTCAGTACAAATTCCAGCATCTGCAGTAATTTGCTCCTACATGTAGAAAGGAGGTTTCCTTTTGTGGGGCAATCTGGAATGACAGATCATTAATTTAGGATAAAGGGTAGCAGTTTTAAAACAGAGATGAGGAGAAATGACTTCTCTCAAAGGATTGTGAATCTGTGCTGGAACACTGAGTAAATTTGAACAGGAGATAGATTTATTAGTAGTAATGGATTGAAGGGTTATGGTAAGGGCAAGTCACTGTAATCTTACCAGATCATAGGGCTGCTCTCTTGTTAGAGATGGATGATTGGTGGTGGTTTAACCCAGCTCATGGTAACCCCAGCCAGTGCAGAAATTGAACCCACACTGTTGATGTTACCCTGCATTTCAAGTCAACTGTCCAGCCAACTGAGCTGGAAGGTGGCATTGAGGCCGAGATGAGATCAGCCATGATCATCCTGAATGGCAGACCAATTGCCTACTCCTGCTCCTCATTCTCAAGTTCTTAATCAGTGTGAGATTTAGGTGCAAGTATCTCAGCCAAGTGATCAAAGCAAGCAAATTGGATTGCCATTTTGGTCACAACTGTACTTCTCACATATTGATGTCAGCACAGCAGAGCTTCGTAGAAACATTGAGATTGTTGTTGAATCATTTTCTTTTGCCCCCAACCCCGTGTGAATGATCTTCCTGCCGTTGATCTGAGAAGGCTATTTGGTCTGTCTCAAAAGGGACATTTTGACAACACATTCTCATCTCAGCTGGAGGTGAGATGATGACAAGCTTCATAACCATCTCATCAACCAAGTGAGACAATCCCAGATATTCACACATTGGGCTGAAAAAAATACTCACTCGAGCCTTGAATGTTTTGATTTTGCTAAATCTATAGGTTGGTAGTCTTGACAAAAAACGAGAACTGTTTCTCAAATTTGGAAGTTGAACTCCAGTGAGAAAGTTGAACTCGTGAATGTGGTTCCCCAAAACGTGGAAGAACGATCGAGTCAAAGGAGAGTGTCTGTTGATCATTCATTCATTGATAAGCATTGGCCATTACATTTTATAAACTTTAAAATTAGAAGACTTGGTGTAACGAGAAGATAAATTCAGCACACATATGAAAAGTGAAAAGATACCTGACATTAACCACAGTAGCACAGATAGCAAACAAGCCCTGCACTTGAAATCTAATTCCGCAAAACAACAATTTGAAATTCACTCAGATTGACTGGTAGACTGTGCAACTGAACGGTAAGTACTCAAACATGCTATGTTGTGTAAACAATTCAGGATTAATCAACTGCATAACCCTATCGTATATATTAAATTCTACTAAAGTTTATTGTGATATCTTGACAATAGTGGAATTATCACGAGCAGTGTGGTAACTTAACTGTCCTTCAAAATGGCCCACAAAGCCACTCATAAGCAGTTTACCACAACTTCCTCAGGACAATGAGGTAGGGACTTGCACCCTGAAAATGAGTCATGCTTTTTTTTTGAATAACAGAAGAAAGAAACTGTTAATATTTAGCCTCTATTTCAAGAATTCAACAATTGCCATAAAGCCCACATAACAGAGACAGCAACTTAATTCTTAAAAAATGCACCTCACTCTACTCCTTACACAGTGTAAGGAACTAAATATTTTAGAACTTATATGATTACTAAACATGATTATTTTCATGCGATGTTTCTGATTATTGCAAACTAAAGGATGTATGTTCCATCCACCCCGACTGCAGCTAAGGGCACAGATAATTCATAAACGTTTAGCAAGCTTCAGTTTTAGAAGGAATCTGCAAAGAGATCTGGAAGACAGTTTGCACAATATTCTTGGTAGTTGAACTCTTCCATCTGGCACGGGACACCTTTCCATTGCTTGAAGGTTCTTTTCTCAGTCGGCAACTCAACCACAAAATTCTTGATGTTTAAACTGGGCACAGACACAGACTTGTAGATCATCTCCATACCCCAGGCCTGTGTGGAGAAAGGGCATACAGAGATTTTTGAACAGTATTTAAAAGTAGACATCGCTCAGGTGCAGCAATGACCAGATACCAGAGAGAATCAGGCTTTTGGGAACCTTGCAACTGATCTTCGAATCATAGCATTGTTTCAGCACAGAAGGAGGCTATTTGACCCACTATAACTCTGTGCTGGCTGTGTGAGAGTTGTGAGCGCCTAACAAACATTCATGCATGCATTTCAAGTTAACCATCCAGAATCCAACTTGGTATTTTGCTGGTTTGCTGGGTAGAAGCCACCTCTTGATTTAAAAACGTCGGTTGAAAGGAAATCACGTAACAGAATTTTACCCATAGTTTTGGAGATGGGCCGAGAGGCTGGAAATATGAAGTGCTGCCAGTAGGTATCAAAAAGGAGTCCGGCATGGCCTAGCCACTAGGTGATATTGGCGAAGGCAGGAATGAGGGGAGTTTGTCTGCTCACTGACTGGAAGCAGCGGCCAAATAATCAACCATTTACCGCTGCCAGGATTTTTCCAGGCAGGGAACAGACCTCTGATCTATGGTGAGCATCCAACTGTATTGTAAGAACTTTTTCCTGGGGAACCTCCTTTCCAAATGCCCCGCGCCCCACAAAGCACCTCCCCTAACACCTTCCCCCAAACCCAGCTCCAATACCACCACCACAGGGCTGTCCCCTCTGATCCCTGCAGACTGCCACACTTGGCTCCGTCACATCCTCCACACACTTACTGGCCCTTTTGAGGAGGGTTTCAATGTGGAGGCATCATTCCTTCTCCCTGCAGCCTCGGCAGGTTTTTTTTTAAATTAATGGGATGTGGGCATCGCCGGCCAGGCCATCATTTACTGCCCATCCCTAATTGCCCAGAGGGCAGTTAAGAGTTAACCACATTGCTGTGGGTCTGGAGTCACAGGTCAAAGAAGGTAAGCATGTCAATTTCATTCTGTAATGGGCATTAATGAACCAGATGGTTTTTTTTCCTGGCAATTGGCAATGGATTCCTGATCATTATTTGCCTCATTAATTCCAGATTTGTGTTGAATTCAAATTCCACTATCCACCATGGCGGGATTCGAACTGAGGACCAGAACATTACCTGGGTCTCTCAGTCCAGCAATAATACTACTAAGCTGTTGCCTCCCTGGGTCAACGGTCAGTGGTCAATGCTATTAGTGATGCTATTGGTGCACTTTTAATTGAATGGCAATCTTAGGGGCAGCTTTTTAATGGGTACCCTTTGGAAAAATTGCTCCCCATCAGCTACATTTGATCCTGTGCCTGCAAACTAGCAGCCCTTGTGGACCAAAGTGAAGAAGAATAATCAAGAAAATGAAGCATAGTGTTATGATATCATTTCTGGTGGTTTGATGGGCATTGCATCTGATAGACATGCCTTCCGTACATAACATGGGCTTACAAATAACAAACATTTTAGTTGCTTAAGGTGAGCACCCAATGGCCAGCGTGATACTGAGTTAAAGTGACTAACAAGGCTCCATGTTTGATTCCACACAGTCATAGTTGAATCAAACTATATAGCGATCATAAACTACTTCTCTAAGTGCCTGCAAAGAAAGAATACTTCTGGTAAAACTACCCAGGATCTTCAACTACAGATTGCACATACCATTCATTCTGAATCATTCTCATTATCAGCTTCCCACGGAGCCTGGTTTTAACTTTGCGAAAGCAGGTATCCACTTAATTCTGTGCTACCAGGGACTGGTTGATCGTTATGCTGAGCTGCCTTGTTTTTTACGTACCTGACCACACTTGCGACAGCTCACTGTTCCGCCGGGTTCCCAGTCCTCAAATTTTCTTGGAAGCTTTATTTTTCCGCCGACTTTGTAGTAAATTCTGCAAAAACAAAAGAGGCAATAGTAAGCATAACAAACATTTATTTTTAATTGGAATATGTTTTAATGTGGGCATGCAAAATGTTGCTACAGTGATTGCAATTGACTTTAATCTCCATTTGGATTGGATTAATTGGGGGATTTTTCGCCATGAAACCGTGTCACTTCATCTCTCTTGCCCTTCCGCATATCACAGAACTTCCCTTTTTGACTACTTCCCAATACCCCCTACACTTGCTCAAAACCTATTACATTTTTACACAAAGTGCTAGAGAAACTGACAGCAACTGTGGAGACAGAAACAGATTTGATATTGACTCAACAGTCCTATTGGACTTTAAGATTTAACTCTGTTTCTCTCTTCACGGATGTCATCAGACCTGCTGAGTTTCTCCAGCACTTCCTGTCTCCTGATCTCCAGCATTTGCAATATTTTTCTTTTGTCCTATTATGTTTGTTATGACTGTGATGGGAGCGGTACACTGACAATCAAGCTCCACTACACAACCAGATGCACTGTTAATTCACCTGCCAAAAATGGTTAATTTCACTTTTTAATCCTGCTATCCAAAACAAACAGAACATTGACCAGTCTTCTTTAATAAGTGTCAAAAACCATCTTTGTATTATAAACAAAACTGACTCTTAAAGCCAGTGCCAACTAATGATTAGCACCTAAACCACGATCTGAAATGAAAACTATATCCCCTTAATGCCACACACACAAAACACAAAAATGCAAGTCTCTGCAGAGATGATTTTTTTTTTAAATAAGGAAAAAGGAAGAAACAAGTTCTTTGGGCCAAAGCCTGGAACCAAAGGATAAAATGTGATAATTTTTCACATCTGCTGAATTCCTGTTGAAGAAGTCAAATTCCTGATAACTGTGGATTGACGATAAACGTCCAGTTCTGATTCCAATCAACTTGGATTCAAGTTGTTGAGAATTGGTCATGGTCCACTTCTTCAGGCTTCACCAGACAGACAGCAATACTGGCACTCTGTTTACTGAATACTGAAACTCTATAAGTTCCCAAGGATTTCTTCTAAGAAACAAGACTTCAAAAGAGACTAAAGCTTCTGGGGTCTCTTTCATACTCACTGCTTCTGGGTCTACCAGGTTATGTTTTCTTCAGTAATTAAAGCAATAGACCTAATTTTATCTCCTTGAAAACTATGCTTCTTTGCTGTTCCAAAGACATTTGATTTACAGAAAAGAAACAGTAGGTATCTTACAGAACATGTTAACTTTTTGACTTCAGTAATTAGCAAGTCAATCATAGTCCACAGATTGTTGAACACAATTCCAAGAAAATGCGTGATCTTGTTCAACAGAGAAAACATCCAACTAATTCAAGCTCTTCCAGATTACTTTTCACATAGGTTTTAAAATTAATTATGCATTCTCAAAACATTTCTAACTTTTCTCCTGTCTGATGGAAGTACTGGAAGCTTACCTCTTTTTCTCTGTTCACAGATGCTGCCTGACCTGCTTGGTATCTCCAGTATTACCTGTTTTTATACTGAAGGACATTTGCCGGTTTGTAGACTGTGTCTACACAAAAGTCAGCTCTTTGGTTAAGAGGATATAAGGGTGTCATGACTGAAGGAGTTATAACATTACAATCTCTTTTATAAAATAAAACTAATTTGACTTTAACCAAAAATTGACATTTGTGCCACACAAACGCCAGGCAATGACCATCACCAATAAGAGACAATTTAACCACTGCCCATTGACATTCAACAATGTTACCATCACTGAATCCCCCGCTATCAACATCCTGGGGGTTACCATTGACCAGAAACTCAACTGGACTCACCACATTAACAGAGTGGGCCAGAAGCTGGGAATACTGCGGTGAGTAACTCACCTCCTGACTCTCCAAAGCCTGTCCACCACCTACAAGGCACAAATCAGGAGTGTGATGGAATCCTTCCCACTTGCCTGGGTAGATGCAGCCCCAACAACACTCAAGTAGCTTGACACCATCCAGGACAAAGCAGCCCGCTTGATTGGCACTACATCCACAAACATCCACTTCCTCCACCACTGACGCTCAGTAACAGCAGTGTGTACTTACCTACAAGGTGCACTGCAGAAATTCACCAAAGATCCTCAGTCAGCACCTTCCAAACCCACGACCACTTCCATCTAGAAGGACAAGGGCAGCAGATATATGGGAACACCATCACCTGCAAGTTCCTCTCCAAGTCACTCACCATCCTGACTTGGAAATATATCACCATTCCTTCACTGTCGTTGGGTCAAAATCCTGGAATTCCTTCCCTAATAGCATTGTGGGAGGAATGCAGCGGTTCAAGAAGGCAGCTCACCACCACCTTCTCAAGGGCAACTAGGGATGGGCAAGAAATGCTGGCCAGCCAGCGATGCCCACATCCAACAAAATGAATAGAAAAAAAAAACTCACGAGGTGAAAAAAACATGGCTGCTATAAATCACCTGACTCTAGGGCTACCACCTCTAAGTGGACTGCAGAGAGACATGGCCAGATATGTAAAGACTCTGGAAATACCAGCAGTTTGTAAACAGACATGGGAAGTGTGAGAATTCTAGCTTCAGAGAGAAACAGAAGACATGAGGCAGTGCTTTAAGGGGACTCAATACTTTGACTTCTTTGAATTGATGCCTCAAAATTAACAGCACCATATTCGACTTTTGAACAGCCTGTGTGCAGAGCTCTGAGAACACGGTTCGTGTCCCGAGAGGAAAGTTTCCACCAAGAGCCAAAAGAGAGATTCCATTGTGAAATACCCTGCAAGAAAACTCCTCTCTGGGCAGTAAGAGGGTGAGGAAGAGGGAGGAAGTAGAGAAGCATTTTCAAACAGTTGTCTGCGGTAGAGTGAGTGGTAACTAAAAGGGTCACACCTACAAAATCAGAAGCCAGGAATCTCCTCTCTTTTTTCCCCTGCACAGGGAGCCTACCTTTATAAGAAAACACAGCCAATTCAACTGTAGAAGCAATTGCACTGCTGGATCTGACTTCAAGTGGTAAACTCTTCACTTTAGCAACAACGGACGCAAACAGCAGGTCCCAATGGCAAACCACAGAGACTATTTGGGACTTCCTTCTTTTACTTTTTTTTGTCTCAATTATCTTTGTTTTAACCTTGATGTCTTGTTAAGAACATTCTCTCTTTATCTTTAGTGAACCTTCAGTAATAACATGTAATAAACTTTAAACCATTTAAACAAAAGATTGCTGGTCTGAACTGTGATAAACTAAAAGGTGACTACGTTTGTTATATTAATGTACAGTTCACTGACAGTGTGGTAGACATGCCTGGTAGTTGTGACAGAGGTTAGAAAAGAAAGGGAGAAAAGACAAATGCAAGAATAGGTGGCACAGCGTACATTCTAGGTGAAGGCACACCAAATGTGGCTGGGACTAAAACTTAAGCAATGGAAAGATGCCCACGAACACTTACTTGAAGTTTGGATTCACGTTGACATGGTGCATGCCCTCAATGATTTGAATATCACTGCCATGGCATACAGCCTCATTGCAGTTCCGGCAAAAAAATCTTACATCTTTCGGATCATTTTCCATTCTTACAGAATTATACTTCCGTTCTTTTACTTTCCGGCTGACTATGCTTTCCAGTTGGAGGTCTCGAATCTATGAGAGAAATCACTTCAGGTTAAAGAGGCAGCAATTTGATCTTCTAACTAGATGGTCAACCCTTTCCTGTCACAGTACTTGCTAGAATTATAAAGGATTACAGCCAGCTGGAACAGAAACAGCCCATTCAGCCCAACCGGGCCATGCTGGTAATTTTGCTCCACTCAAGTACCCACTCATCTTTTCTCATCTGAACTCTCAATCAGTCCTCAGATGTGCTTTCTTTTGTTATTGCTAAGTAACATAGATTGAATAACATGCATCTTTAATTGAAAAGTTCATGTGGATTTATTTAACAGGTAAGTCCATAACTTGCAATTACAGGCAAAGTGGCGGCCTAGAAGCATTATCACTGGGCTGTTAATCCAGGCGTCCAGGTAATGTTCTGAGGCCCAGGTTCAAATCCTGCCATAACAGATGGTGGAATTTGAATTAAGAGTCTAATGATGACCATGAATCAACTATCAGAAAAATGTATCTGGTTCATTAGATAACAAGGTGTAGAGCTGGATGAACACAGCAGGTCAAACAGCAGAGGAGCAGGAAAGCTGATGTTTTGGGACTAGACCCTTCTTTGCTGAAGAAGGGTCCAGACCCGAAACGTCAGCTTTCCCCTTCCCCTCCCCCATTTCTGAAGAAGGGTCCAGACCCGAAACATCAGCCTTCCTGCTCCTCTGATGCTGCTTGACCTGCTGTGTTCATCCAGCTCTACATCTTGTTATCTCAGATTCTCCAGCATCTGCAGTTCCTACTATCTCTGGTTCATTAGTGTCCTTTAGGGGGGGTGTAACTATGACTCCAGACCCACAGCAATGTGGTTGACTCTTGGGAAATTAGAGTTGGGCAGTAAATATTGGTCTAGCCAGTGATGCCCACACCCCTGAATGAATGCAACCTCTTCCTGGCATGCTAGGCTACTTGCCGAGCTCTGCATGGTAGTTGGTCAGGTGATTCGCATCCTGATCCTTGGTGAATTGGCATATCTAGATCTTAAAACAGTGATACACCAAAATCATTTACTCCTTGCTTAGGGTCTACCTCTCCCCTTTGTAAAGCTTGTTTGCCTTGTTTCAGATAATTTACTGTGAATGGTATTGCTGGACTGTACAGAATTGCCAAGACTCCAAAACATAGCAAGTACATTCACACTATTACCATGTTGCAAAATAGTACAATGTTTGTGCAAAACCTTTCAAGAGTCTTACTTTGATGAGATATTCCCTTTCTGGCATTTCTTGCACATCCTCTATTGCACGTTTCATAAGGTCCTCGCGGCATTCGTTTGTAAACTCCCGTGATATCTCTTTTCCGCCTTTTTTAGCAACCACTGAATAAATGCTGTTCTCAGCTCTAGCTCGTCCTCTGGCCTGGGAGAAGGAGAAGTGCAACAATAATATCATAAGAATGTACAGCAATTGGTTCAAGATAGCTTCTCTTGTCAGTCCCTTTAACAAGGAAGAACAGGATAATATCCCTTCATATGTTACCTGCATCCAACAACAATTTGCAGACACATAGTGCATTCCAGCTCAAACCTGTACTCTTCTGATCTTTGCTGAAACAACTGTCCTCTACTCTAGATGGCAGTCTAGTCCATATGCTGATGTTACTTAATTGGTTCATTCAATGTCCTCAATCTTTAACTTGTAATTATTCTTTGAGTTGTGCATGAAATAAAAAACGCACCACTGTTCCCCATCATGATTTTGAGCATTTGAATCCTGGTCTGTCTTATATGTCCAATGAAATATATTTAACTTCCTCTCCAGTTGGTTCGATCACCTAAAACCATTGGAAAGGAATTTGTTAGAGTATTACCCCTTACCTCCGTGCATTTTCTCCTAGCTTCCTTTGCAGGATCAAATGGCCATAACCTGCTCATTAATCTTGTAGGATCATATGTGCCGAAGACATATCTAGTAAATACATAAAACATTGGAGGCGGATATAATATCAAGGTTTAAGAGGCACCTTGACAGATGTACGAATACAGCAAGGAATAGTGATATGGACAGCATAGAGGCAAAAGATTTTTAGTTTAGAAAGGCATCACGTGTTGCCAGTCTTGGTGGGCCAAACAGCCTGCTCCTGTGCTGTATTGTTCTTTGTTCTCTTTTCTTTTATTGGCGCTGATTAAGCACAGCATTCTGTGTACCAACAATTGATTTACCTGCATCATAGCAATTTCATTGTTGATGAGACCATAGCGGATGACGATGTTGCATTCCTTTATATCCAGGCCTTCTTCTGCAACACTGGTGGCAACTAGTAGGTTGATAATGCCAACTCGGAATTTCCTAATGACCTCGTGTTGTTCTTGCTGTAATGTTGCAAACATACAAGAAAACATTGAACACTGAATTTATTGCGTGCTGGTTAACTTGTCTGGACACGTTATAACAAGGTCTAAACAAATCAGGCAAAATGTCAGAAAGTTAGACTGATAGGCAAGTGCATTCATCACTTTATAATTTTGTTTTGATTGTCCCAGTTCTGAGGTATGGTTATCATTAAAAACATTTCATTGTATATTGCAAGATCTGAGCATGTTGTGATTTTGAGTTCTCTGTTGGGGGAAAGTGAAAATAAAATTACAGTAGTTTAAAGGCTGCTGGCTGTGAATCCACAAGCGAATCTGTTACATACTAATCTAGGATTTAGGAGCAGAAGTAGATCATTTGGCCCATCAAGCCTGCTGTATCATTTAATAAGATCATGGCTGATCTGGTTGTAGTCTCCGCTCCAGTTTACAGACCACAAAGCTGACAGAATGGTTACAAGGCAGAATTCTTTACATAAATTTCATTTGAGAAATTAGGGAATGAAGAACATTGTGGCACCCTTTTTGGAATGTTTAAAGTTGATTTGGCGGAGGTGTGAGCCATTTGAAAGATTGTTCACTGTGCACATTATATTCAGTTAAACATTATTAGTCAGCACAGTAGGTAATTTGAAAGGAAAACAATACTGAAGGCCAATTTGAAATAAGGGCGAATTTTAACCGTAATAAAGAAGACTGGTGTAATTAGGAATGAAGGTTACACATTGGGCAGAGAATAAGTATAATTGGAGATAATGATAAAGTGAATGCTTGCCTCGTGATGATCAGGTCAGATTCTCTTGAGGTAGTGGCAAACCATTTTTGTCAGACATACAATGGAATATGCTGAAATTAATTCAGTTTTGGTTTCATATGATGGTATGACTGACTGCATTGAGAACTGTATTCCCTCAAAGGAAGCAGTTACCAGGTGTACTTGGAAATCAACCTTAAAGGCATAAAGAAAAACTCATAAACAGAACTCTGTTCTGAGGAAGGGTCACCAGACCCGAAATGTTAACTCTGATTTTTTTTTCTCCACAGATACTGCTGGGCCTGCTGAGCTTTTCCAGCAATTTCTGTTTTTTTTTCCTGATTTACACCATCCATAATTTTTTCAGTTTTTAACTTTAAAGGCATGTTCACAGGCGGTTTAAAGAACAACAAAATTAAGGGCAAGCTTTTGAGCAAAAACAATAAGCCGACGTGGAAGGAGACGCGTGATGAGGCCATAATCATGGAGATAGTTGAAAATTGCAAGGGATCTCCTTCATTTAAGAGAGGGCCTGTTGAAAACGCAAAGTCAGTAAGCTTTGCACGGTCAGAAAGATCACATCCAAAGTGAGACACAGCCCGAGTGAATATATAGTTTAGGGAATTTGGAGGCAGAATGGGAATTCAGTGCAGGGGAGGGAAGGAGGTACTTTTTGCTTGTTTTTTTTGGTTCATAGCTTGGAAGGTTTGTTCAACAGGATAAATTGAAGCACGGGATCAGAGGTCCAGCACAGAAGAGTGACATCATAGGTAAACTGTAAGTTCATTATTTCGTAATAGCTACTAATTTGACTATCTATTATAGATTACCTTCAAATTGAAGGTAAATAGGGAAAATATTGGCAGGTTACTAACTAAAAGACCAGTAGGAAATTTTGAAAATCCAATTAAGAACACAAATAAAATAGAGATGCCATGTGATGCGTTTCACCTGCATGATGTGGGAGTTGGTGAACTCCATTGTGGTTCAAAGTGACCACATCTGTAGCAAGTGTTGGTTGCTTCAGGAACTTGGCTCAGAATTGATGAACTGGAGTCTGAGCTTCAAATATTGTGACACATCAGAGCTGGGGAGAGCTACCTGCTTGCTGTGTTCCAGGAGGTAGTCACAGCCCTTAGGTTAACTACCTCAAATTGGGTCAGTGGTCAGGCACAGGAGGGTGTGACAATGAGTGAGGCAGGTAAAAGGATCCAGGAAGTAGTGCTGAAGGAGCCTCAGCTTTCGAACTTCTCTAACAGGTTTGAGATTCTTGCTCCCTGCGTGGGTGAGAGCACAGAGGGTGGTGATGCTGAGAAAACTGACCGTAGCATCATGTACAGGGAGCCATTCAAAATGGGGGAGAAAAGAGGAATGTAGTTATAATTAGGATAGTATAGTCAGAACAATAGACACTGTTCTCTGTGGATAAGACTGAGAGTCCCAAAGGCTGTGTGGCCTATCTGGTGCCTGGGTTCAGAATATCTCATCCAGACTACAGAGTAACATGGAATGGGAGGGGAAAGATTCAGTTGTTGTGGTCACCATAGGTACCAACGATGTGTGTAGAGAAAGGAAACAGATTCTGCTGAAGGAACATGAGCAGCACGGGGCCAAATTAAAAATCAGAATCAAAAAGGATAATAATCTCTGGATTACTACCTGAGTCACGAGCAAAATGGCACAGGGTCAACAAGATTAAAGAGCTAAATGTGTGGCTCAAGTACTGGTGTGGGAGAAACAGGTTTGAATACATGGGACACTGGCACCAGGCAGTGGGGAAGGAGGGAGCTGTTCCAATGGGATGGGCTCCACCTGAACCATGCTGGGACCAGGGTCCTGGCCAAGTGAATAACTAGGCCTGGGGATAGGGCTTTAAATTAAATAGCAGGTATGGGTTGGTGGGGGGGGTGTAGGTGAGAAGGGTTGGAGGGGGTTCAGTTGCATGGAAAATTATTTAAAAAAATTAAGGGAGGGGTTGGACTCAACCAAGGATATTAAAGCTTCCAGAACAAGGAATATGACAGAGTATAAAAAGGGTCAAGAATCTATGTTCAGGCACCATAGATAAGGGGATAACTATGAGAAGCGGAGCAGATAATGCAGGACTGAGGGTGTTGTACTTAAAAGCACGCACTATATGGAACAAAGTAAATGAGTTTATAGTGTGGATTGAAATTGATGGGGTATGATATTGTGGGACCACAGAGACATAACTGCAAGGGGATCAGAACTGAGACCAAAATATCCAAGGAGACATCTCCTAACTAAAGGGTAGGCAGATGGGCAGAGGAGGCGGGGCTGCTTTGTTCATAAGAAATGAAGTTAAATCATTAAAGCAAGAAGTGATATAGAGTTGGGAGGTATAGAATCTGTGTGGGTAGAGTTGAGGAACCACAAAGGAAAAAAGAACCTGATGGCAGCCTTGAACAGGCCTCCTAGCAGTAGTCAGAATGTGGGGAAGAAAATAAATCAGTAACTAAAAAAAGGCATGTAAGAAAGGCACTATTACAATAATCATGGGCGATTTCAATACGCAGGTGGACTGGGAAAATCAGGCTGGTTTTGGGTCTCAAGGAGAGGAATTCACGGAATTTCTACAAGATGGTGTTTTGGAGCAACTTGTAGGGGAGCCCACTGGAGAACAGACAATTCTGGATCTGGTGATGTGTAATGGGGACAGACTTGGCAGAGTTGATTGGAAGGACAGCCTAACAGGGAAGACAGTGGAGCAGCAACGGTAGGAGTTTCTGAGGGCGACTCGGGAGGCACAGCAGAAATTCATCCAAACGAAGAAAAAACATGCTAAAGTGAGGACGAGGCAACCATGGCTGACAAGGGAAGTCATGGACAGCACAAAAGCAAAAGAAAAAACACACAATGTGGTGAAGATTAGTGTGATCCCAGAGAATTGTGAAGCTTTTAAAAACCAGCAGAGGGTAACTAAAAAAATAAGGAGGGGAGAAGATGAAATATGAGGGTAAGCTAGCTAATAATATAAAAGAAGATTGCGACAGTGTTTTTTAGTCATACAAAAGGTGAGTGAGAGTCAAGAGTGGACATTTTACAGCGGGAAAATGTGGCTGGAGAAGCGGTAATGGAGAAGAAAGAGATGGTGGATGAACCAAATACATACTTTGCATCAATTTTCACAGTTGTAGCCATCAGTAGCATACTGGAACTTCCAGAGAGTCAAGGGTAGATGTGAGTGTAGTGGCCGTCACTAAGGAGAAGGTGTTGGGGAAGTTGAAAGATCTGAAGGTGGATAAATCGCCCAAACCAGATGGACTACATCCCAAGGTTCTAAAGGAGAGAGCTGAGGAGATTGTAGAGGCATCGGTGGTGATCTTTCAGGAATCACTGGAGTCAGGCAGAGTCCCAGAGGACCGGAAAGTGGCTAATGTAACACCCCTATTTAAGAAGGGATGGAGGCAGCAGACAGGAAATTATAGGCCAGTCAGTCTAACCTTGGTTGTTGGTAAGATTTTAAGAGTCCATTGTTCAGGATGGGATTGCAGAGTACTTGGAAGTGCAAGGTAAAATCAAGCTGAGTCAGCATGTCTGCGTCGAGGGGAGGTCATACCTGACAAATCTGTTTGAATTCTTTGAGAAGATAACAAGTAAGTTAGACAAAGGACATTCAGTGGATGTGATCTATTTGGATTTCCAGAAGGGCATTGTTAAGGTGCCACACAACAGGCTGCTAAATAAGGTAAGAACCCATTGTATTAGGGGCAAGATACTGGATAGAGGATTGGCTGATTGGCAGAAGGCAGAGAGTAGGGATAAAGGGGTCTTTTTCAGGAAGGCAGCCGATAACTACTGGAATTCCGTAGGGGTCAGTTGGGATCACAACTATTCACATTATACATTAACAATCTGGATGAAGTGATTGATGGTTTTGTTGCTAAGTTTGCAGATGACACAAAGATAGGTGGAGGGGCAGGTAGTGTTGAGGAAGTGAGGAGGCTGCAGGAGGATTTGGATAGACTAGGAAAGTGAGCAAAGTAGTGGCAGATGGAATACAATGTGGGAAAATGTGAGTTTACGCACCTTGGTAGGAAAAATAGAGCCATTGATTATTTTCTAAATGGGGAAAAGCTTTGGAAATCTGAAGCACAAAGGGACTTGGAAAACCTAGTCCAGAATTCTCTTAAGGTTAACGTGCCAGTTCAGTTGGCAGTTAAGAAGGCAAATACAACGTCAGCATTCTTTTCAAGACAGCTACAATACAAGAGCAGGGATGTACGCTGAGGCTGTATAAGGCTGGGGTCAGACTGCATTTGGAATATTGTGAGCAGTTTTGGGCCTAAGAAGAATGTGGAGGCCAAGTCATTGAGTGTATTTAAGACAGAGATAGATAGGTTGTTGATTAGTATGGGGATCAAGGTTACAGGGAGAAGGCAGGGAAATTGGGTTGAGAAACATATCACCCATTATCAAATGGCAGAGCAGACTCCATGGATAGAATAGCCTAATTCTATCCTATATCTTATGATCTTATGTTCTCTGAGCCACCAGGGCAGCTCCACCAGATTTGAGTGTGATCCAGGGCATATATTGAGATTCACAGTGTCAGTGTCAGAAAACTAGATACTACTGTTGCCAAAGTTGCCACCAACCATTGAAATACACCACATTGCCTGTGGGAAAGTTAGTCATATCCAGACATTAAGAAGGAATAGAGGAAACAGCAATGTCCAGATCACAGCCATGCATCAGGTAGAATTCGCGGTTGATCTAAAGCTAGTTTTAGAGTCTGAAAATCCTTACATATGCATAAGATAGATATGAGAATAGAAATTGCTGTTGCAGGGAAGTTTTGAGAGTTATATTCCATCAGACAGCAAGAAAACAGCACATGGTGAAAGAGGGCAATAGAGCTGAAGGTATAATTGCAAAGTCCACCCAAAAGTGACAGTCGGAGATTTTCAATTTACTTCCATCATTGATATAGTGGAAGCATTGTCTACCATCTCAAAGAAAAGTACCAGAGATCCCTTGGGTCACATTCTCTTCCACAAAACTGATTAGTTATTTTAAAAAACCAAGCTTCCATTGGCAGCTGGAGTTAATGTTAGATGAAGTACTACGATGATCCTGTGATTTGCCATTGCCAGTCGGAAGAGCCAATGAAGTCTCCTGGATGGGAGGGAATTGGCTTATAGAAGATATAGTTACACTGGGTCAAGTTATTTACAGTAGGAATCAGTGACACTACAGCTGACATAGAGAAAGTATTAAGCGAGCACAACATAACCTTTGAACAAGGAGCACAAAATGATTGCCCTGAGGAGCAAAATCAGTAAATAGACTAGTAATAATTACTGGTCATACTGGAGCTCCATTTTGAAGCATATGGGATAATTCAGACTGGTATGTGCCATTTTATAAGTTTTACTGATGTCTGCTTTTGGGAAAATTAGGGATCATAAGGCTGAAGCTATTTGTTAAGGGGCAACATACAACTGATATTTTTAAAATCCCCTCTATCAAATTCATCATGCAAATGTCCTGTGTAAACCTTGCCTGGTATAATTATATTTTCTAATCAACTTATTATTACACACCTCTACAGCAGATGAAATTTGAGCCCAGGCTTCCTGCATCAGAGGTAGGTGCACTACCACTGCACCACAAAAGCCCATCCTGGTATAGTTACAACCTTTTGTCAATGGTGACTTGGCAGTGCCTCAATTTTATATTTCCCCGTGTCCTGCACTGACACTCCCAACAAATTGGTTCATTGCTTAAGAAATTGTTGTATGTAATAACATTGTTCTACAAATAATCATTTACTTAGCTGGTTTAATTTTTTGTATATCTGTTGCAGAGGTAATTTGAGTTTCACTGAAATTCTGCCACTGGCAGTTCTTAAGTAGTCAATTTGGAAACGATCTATTGAATTTAGAAAACAGTATTGGCAAGGACCGAGTTATTGGGTTCAGTCTCAGACATGAGCTACAATCAGGTTACGAACAAGATCAAAGGGTGTGAAAATAAAACTGTATCCTTGAAACATTTGATTGTGTGTTTAGAAAGGATACAGAAAGGTAGAGTTTTATGTTATATCCCATAAAGTCTCTGAATGCATCAATCACTTTGACGTGTGAATAGTTTGAGTACAGTAGTGAATTGGTATGCCAGAACACTTTGATCATAATACTTAATAAATACCCTTCAAAGAACTGACTTGGTGGCCATATCCAACACATCATCCTCCGGCACTTCCGCCATCTGCAATCCGACCCAACTACCAAAGGCATTTTTCCCTCCCCACCCTCATCTGCCTTCCGGAGGGACCACTCTCTCCATGACTCCCTTGTCCGCTCCACACTCCGC